GGAGGTACCATTAACTTTCACAGGGCTGTAAGAGCAGCTCTCTTCCTTACTGATTCTCTGCTGCCTCATTTCTTGTGGGCACAGTTTATTACTCTCCAGTAACGCCCCTTCTCCAAGCTGTTACCTATTCCCATCCTCATCATGTCCTCCTTTTTGCTCCCTGTCCTTCAGCAGTCTCTACCTGCTTCTTAAGGCAGTGAAGTTAGAAGGGCAGAGCTGGGGTCAAGCTCTGTCTCTACGAGGGTAAATGCCAGGGAGATAAAGGTTTGAGAGTGGGAGGAGAGCCTTTTTCCTGTGTTGCTCAACTACTTAGTCCAAGCTGCATTTCAGCTGCGTCTGCAGAAGATGGGGGATGGAAGGTGATCAATGTCATTGCTCCAGCCACAAAGCAAGGGCTTTGCCTCTCCTTACATGCAATCTGCTAGTTTTCCTTAGTCAAATGTTTCCTCTGTGCTGCAGAGTCCACGTTAAAGAGGCCTTGTCTACAGCTAGGTCTATGTTCCCAGAGAAACAATTAGCAACTGCAAAATCAGGAGGTACTAAGAAAGCCTCTGAAGGCTTTCCAGATCCAGGGGTCTGGAAAATGAAGGGGGATTGACAAGAAGAAAGAAGAGTCTAGAGCAGTTTAAGGGAACAATGCCACTAGTTTTAAGCAACATATCTGGTGTTTAGCTTTAATCTTTGAAAGAGAAAGAAGTCTGAAGGTGCACCAGCCTAAAATATGACAAAGCCTTAAAAGTCTGCACATAGCTGAATCCCAACTGGAAAGAACAGCTTCAAAGAGCTTGGAAGTGCTGAGGTGAAGAAGAGCATGTGATCATTAGAAGATTTCAAAAGAAGGTCCTCAGCACAAAATCCAGAAAGTTCACCTTTCTGTGGGACAAAAGATCCATCCCTCACAAAGGCTGGAGGAACAAAATCTTTGTATCTCATTTTGCCTGAGAGCAGAAGAGAATACAAGATCCTCTTGTTTCACTTGGTGTACATCACATCATTAATTTCTATTTGGTCACTGCTATGCAGAACTTGCTAACTTGAATTGTGTAAAAAGCACACCTGGTCTCAAGAGACTAAGATGCTTAATGCAACAGGCAGAGTGTAAGGCACAGAAGGATGAAAAAAATCTTGCAATGATGAAGGCATGATAAGAGATGTTCAAATGATACTAACAAATGACACTCTATCTTGTCCAAGATTTTTGTCAATATGAAGGGAAAGTTCTATTCCAAGCTCCCTTTAAAGGGTTACTGTATTCCAGGACAAAGACTTGCTGCATGCACAGGTGCACTTAGATAGCTCAGATCAGTCCCATCCTAAAATGTGTGAAAATAGAGATACGAATAAGGGGCCAAGCAGATGTGTAAATAGCAAAGATTGCCAGTATGTGTTCACAAATGAGTATTTGAACATTTCACTGCTGAAACTTCTGAAAATATCAACTGCCTTATGAAACTCTGGTTATTCCACCACACAGGAGTATTTGTGGTCAAGCTGCATGAAGAAATAGCAAGTGTTTAAACTAATTTCCTAAAAGAGAGCCTTTCCTCTACATGCTGCTCTTGCACATCCATGTGTGACGAATTGGCACATCCATGTGAGGAATTGGTTTTCTGATTCAGCAGTTGTGTAGCTGATGTAGTTACACCCTTTGAGAGATTTCTTCAGAAAAATGACATGCTTAGGCTAAAGTGCATGCAATCCACACATACACCATTACTCGCAATGGAGTACTGCGCAGCATGAAATTCAGGCTATTCTTCATATTTTTGGTTTTAACTGCTACCTTGGTGACTTAAAAAATGCTCAACATCTGATTCATTCAAAGGAAAAATGCACACCGGTAGATGTGAGAACAGCATGCATGTTAATTTCCATATAAACTTATCTCTTTTCAGATATCGAGATCATTGCTTCCCCAGAAGTGTTGCACTGGTCATCAGAACAGAATATCTCAGGAGAAACACTGCCTTTACTAATTACAGCATCTAAGCTAAAGCACACAGTGGTTATAGTACAGTATGACAAATTATGCCAGTGCTCAATTCATGTGCCAAATCTCACCACGCCTTTGCTTTCGGCAGGTGTGGAGCAAAATGCCTCAGTAATATTTAGACAGGAACACCACCACACCTCTTAACAGCTCACAAAGTCTAAATGCTATTGGAGTATGTCAGCAAAGATTGCTTGGCAAGGGAAGGCTTGCGAATGTACATGTAATACGTACACATTAGATATCTATCTACACTGTTTCAAAATAAAGACGCACGTGTTCTCACTCAAAGCTTTGAAGGGAAATAAGCTACTCAAAGAAGTAATTTCTTTTGAACTTTAAAAGCAATTTGAAACTTCACGATGATACAAATTTATCCCACATAAAAATCTCTTAGGACATAAATCAAAATCCGTTACAATTGTTCCAGCAGAGACCTATACACCATCGTTACACTTTAATTTACAAGGTCAGGACAAGCTCTTGCTGCATTCTGTGACAAAAAGGTTCCTTCTCACACCAAAGTCCAGGTACTCACTCCAAGCACACAATCACTAATCATCATTACCACCACTTCAGTCTCTGTGCTCCTATTCCCTGTACTGTTCTGGCCCTTGAGAATTACAGGATTGTTATGAAACAAAATGTTAAGCTGCCCTCCCACAGGATTCCAATATTCTCAGGTTTCAAAACCCTTGTCTTCCCCACCCCTCTTATCTCCTGAAGTCCTTATAATGGTTTGGGACATTTAAAATCCTTTCATGTTTAAAACTTACTGGCCTGTTCTGGCTGAGCCAAAAACATGCGTAGAAAGCTCTGTTGGCTGAATACCTACAGCATAGGTTGGCAGCGTACCTACACAAAAACCATACATAGCATATTGTATTCTAAAATACTGTGTGAGAGCAGAAGCTACGAAATCTTTCTCTCAAAACCCCTAAGTACTTTTAGATCACTTTACAAATGATCTATGTGGACGTCAAGTATTTAGCCTACTCCTGATCCCAGGTACCAACGAACTGAGCAACATACTGTGTAAGAAAGTAGTATTGACTTGTACTAAGTTGCAAGGAAACTGAAGGAAAACAAAATGTGCTTATATAGCTGAGATCTGGCTGGGGTGCCTGATGTGCTGCCAATATTTGTCCTGCCAAAATGGAAACATGAATGACCACATTGAATGAGCCACAGGCTTACTTCCCACAGGAAGGATACTACCAATATAAACGTAAGTCTTTGAGCATGTTGGAGTATTGACTTAGTATAGAGTGGGAGTGAGGGAACCACCGCTCCTGAGTCAGCCTCAGCACCGCCCATTGAACTCTATCTTCTAGTGCTGGTAACTTCACACGATGCTGGAAAATGTTATCATCATCACACTGATTTACTGTATATCTCCCTTTTAGGTGAGAACAATTTTAGCTACTCTGTACGTATTTTTTTTTTCCCCACTAATAACCAGCCATGCTATTCAAAAGGCATTTTTAAAAGGCAACTTTAAGACCTTGTACAAACACCGTCCTCTCATTCATTCAAATCCCACATTTCTGCATATATGGAACAGCTCAGTCACTTCTTGTAACAGAGTAAGCACTATGACTAGTTAGCAAATTAAATTCATCCCTGCTTTAAAAACAGAAAATCCAAGTAACTGCTCCAAGGGATGAAGTTTATTTAGTGAATCTATCATTTGTTCTACAACACAGTTAAATTTGCAAAGATGACTCAAATCATTTAAAGCTTTGGAAATCATTTGAGGCCAAGGTAAACAGATTACAACTTTCCCAGGCGCAATGGAAGCAATTAATTCTGCAATGAACACCTCTCCTACACTACTGTGCTCTCTGGAAAGCTTAACAGATGCATCTAATTATAACCCACACTGAAACATGGTGTTTCTGTGTAGCTACAATTTCAAAACAGCCGGGAGGCAGGGAAGAACCATCCTATTAAAGCTATGAGGCTGTTCCCCTGTAGGAAAGCAACTTTAGCAAAGCTCTGAGTTCCCAAGTCACATTGATGCAGAAAGCTCACTACTGGCAAGGTGCCCTTTGCGTGAGCAACCTCTTCTGCCATATAAAACATTTGGAGATAATCCCATAGCTCAGTCCTTAGCACAAGAGACTGTGCCAGCCACTCCCCTACAGAATAAGTCCACGTGCACATTCATAGACCTCAGGGCAGAAGAAAGGTTTCAGAAAGCAGTTTGCACTGAGAAGATAGACCTTGGGGTGAGTCTTCCTCAATACTGAGGAGGAATCCCTCAAAGACAAGCAGCTCTTATCCAGGTGTTCAAGGTGATATTTTCAACAGAGCAAGGAGGTAAAGAATGAAATAAGGGGCAGAGTTACATAGGATTTTTCAGTCAGAGGTGAGAGCTGAGATAGATAGGACAATGGAGGTAAGGACAGTGTGACTGTGAGGAGAATTAGCAATGGAAATGCTTCAGTAGCCAAGGCAAGAAGAAAAAGAGTATTCAATAGAATATCAGTTTCTGGAGAAAGTAAAGAATACATCTCTGAAATGCTACAAAGGGCAAACAGTTGCTTTCAACTTAGAACAGGGAAACTGAGGCAGCAGAAAAAAAAAAAAACAAGTCTAATCTGAAACCCACATCAGGTTCTAGTGCTGCTGCAGCGATAAGAAAAGCGTCTGATAAGTGTTTCTCAACCTTTGTTATCTCACAATGAAAATGCTTCCCTGCTTATACAGTTTTAGAATCCTCCAAGATAAACAAAATCCACTTTACTAAAATAGAAGCCCACCAGAAATGACCAACTTTTTATCAGTAGGAAACGGACAATAGAAAAACTCACAAATATGATGTCACTGTCCTTTCTCTGTTCCTCGGAAACTGTTTCTATTAGAGGAATCATAAGTAGGTCAGCTACTGCATTTTTTTGGCCTCCAAATTGCAAAAGAAATGTTGTTTCAAGCTGTGATGGTTCAAGTTGTTACTAGCCTGTTGCCACAAAAACGTTTATAGAAATATTTCTGCAGTCAGTTTTGTAAGGTTCTTGTATGGTATTACTCTCACCATCACCTCACATCCTACTCTGAGATGATTCAGTTCTTCCATAGGGATGTGGCCTTTAGGGCAAAATAAATTGCAAAGTCATGAGTCATAAGAACCTTTGAAGAACAGGTCAGGCAGACTATAAATTCAGCCTACCCACCATCTGAACTGCAGAAACCTTGAACAGACCCAGAGCAGCAGTCTTCCTCCCTGCACAAAATAAGGTACTGTAATTATTTCTAGAGATTGTTTATTTCGTGTACTCTTGGGTGATGTTGACAAATGCATAGAAAAAAAGGCAGAGGAAATCTGAATAGAAAAGAACAAATACTTGAGGAAGAATTTTACTAAGATGGCACAGGTAAGGTCTAGAAGGGGCAAGTCTAGAAATATGCAGCAAGAGCAACTTATTCTCACTGGCAGACATGTATATCATAGCAGAATAAGAACCACTGTGTTTGCTTAACTTAGATCATTTGTTCCTATGCTCTTCAGTTCTCATGTACATCAAGACACAGTCAGTACATCTTTATGGCCATTCTGTATAAATCAGAATAGCTCCTATTACATACCTAATGCTCTCAGCTTCAACTGCAATGCAAAGAACAATGAACAGCACTTGTGTTCTACTGAGTAAGGAAATTTTGCTTTGCAGAACTGGGAAGCTAGCACCCTAAGACACAGTTTCAGGAAATTTTTGAAAGTTAAAAATGGAATTCAGGAAATTTCTTACCACACAGTAGTTACAGAGTGCTTGCCTAGTGCTTCAATATTTTCTTGTATCCTAAAGGAATAGAGTATTTGTTCACTACAGTTATGAGCACCAAAAGGCTCTTGCACCAGTAGTCATAAGAAACAATTTCTCAGCATCTTCTAGCCCATGCACCAGTGAGTAACATTATCATATGTCACTCGAAGATACTGTAAAGAACAGTCCTGATGAACAAATACAAAATGGAATAGGAGGCTGCTTTTTCTGCATCATTTGAGTTTGATTAGTGTCATTGGTGAAATGGGCTATGCTACACTTAATATAACCTTTTAGTAGCTAATGGAGACACCTCTCTTCTTTCCATCTGTAAGATCTTTACCATATCATTATATTGCTTACATAGAATTCACCATATAGTTATAAATTGCATGCTTTTTCTTTTAGTACAACACTGTAATCATGCTATTTTGATGAATTTTCATTTGTTACTCTTGACTGTCCCTTGCACGGATATCTGTCTTTCCAAGTGAACTTCTGCTGATCCAAGGAGAGTTCACTCATACACTACAAACAACACACATAGTTGGCAGAAATGAATACCGTACCAGCGCTGACAGGTCAGAATGCTTTCATTCAGTTTCCTGAAGTCAGAGGAGAGCTGAGGAAAATACTGGCACAGTCTAGATTTTGCCTTTGGACATACACTGCCAGTGACTTTCAGTCATTCAAAGGATCACTGTGCTGCACTGTCAATCTTCCACAGTCAATAAGTGTTGAAAATACTTCCAGAAAGCCTACAAATCATAAATCAAACTTAAAATGCTTCTGAAAGGAAGCCTGCAGACATATAGTAAACACAATTAATTCTTGGCTAATAACATCTTTTGTCTCTTTCTGTGCAGGTTCAGAACAATGGAAGCTTTAAATAAAGCAAACACAAGCTTTGCTCTTGACTTATTCAAGCATGAGTGTCAGGAAGATGACAATGAGAACATTTTGTTCTCCCCTTTCAGTATTTCATCTGCCCTCGCTACTGTGTATTTGGGAGCCAAAGGCAACACTGCAGATCAGATGGCAAAGGTGAGTCTGAGAAGAGTTGATCTCTTAGAGTTAACATTCTCTCTGAAAGAAATTGACCATGATGCATCAACGGAAAACCATATACAGGTCAAAAGACATAGCCTCCACTAGCTTCTGCAAACACCAAATGGGAGCAGTGGCACTAGTCACTGCAGACACTCTCTCCTTTTAAATCTCACTGGAAGAAAGAAGGGTTCTTTATCCCAAAGTTCAATAATTGAGCACTCACCAGTGAGAGAGAAACTTGGATTCTCCACCTGCCTTGCCCCAGAAAATTCTCATTTTCTGTCTCATCTCTTTGGAAATGGCCCTATGCTGAAAGACCCTTTGCTATATCTCTAGTAAGTTTCGGGCTTTGCTACCATAAATCTACAAACTCACGAGGTCAGAGAAGAAACACAGGGTGATAATACAACCCCTTCTTTTGAGTATGTATTTTACAGGAAAAATCACCTACTGAAGTTCCTAAACTCTATTTGTGCAAAGTTCACAGCTTCAACAGGCAGCAGTGAGAACAGTCCCAATGCAAACATGGTTACCTAGCCTGTACTGCAGGAGAACTGGTGAACTGGCATCTGCTAAGGCAGGAAGCTGCATCGCCTGCTAAAGCAGCAATCCAACTATTGAGCTACAGGACAAATGAGGACCAGCGGGGTCACAAAGAAAGGAGAGATCTTCTGTCAGGAAGAAGGGAAAACAAAACAAAACAAAAGGCTTCTGAAAAAATGTTCCAAGGTTAGATGTACAGTTTTGTAGCCTGGGTAAGGTGCACATGCCCAGAGGAAGGCATGTAGGGTATGAATCTGCTCCCAGTGTTTTCTGACATGTAGTGGGCTCTCCCTTTACACCTATGCTTCGGTAGTTTCCACCTGGAAATAACTGGCCCTTCCCAGGTATACTCCTGTGAGTACAAGGGCCAACTTGAAGCAGGCAAATTCCTCTAGAAATACCAGATACATGAGAGTTCTGCTTGCAACCCTCATCTAAGTATGCTCAAGACATCTTGTACACAGGGGTTCAAAAGTAAAATCTGGCATTGTCTTTTCATCACCAGACCTATGACATCACTGAAAGTTTTTACTGAAACAGCAAATTTTCTGTTACTGCACTGATTACTGCAATTTCCACTATAGGTACTCTACTTCAATGAAGCTGAAGGAGCCAGAAATGTCACCACAACTGTAAGAATGCAAGTCTATTCCAGAACAGACGAGCGCCTATCAAATCGCCGTGCCTGTTTCCAGAAGGTAGATCACCAAGTCCAATGATCACGTAATGGTCATGGTAACACGTTCCCTCGCTTTTATTTTGTCTCTGCTTGCCTTCCTTAAATGCAGTATACACAACTATTTGGTATAGCATCCTGTGATACCTTCATCTTATGCAATATTTAAGACGTTTCCCATTTTTAGGTAGAATTGCAAAATTTAACCTCAAATTTGTGAAATTTGAAATGTAATGATGGGGCTATTCTCTATCAATGGATCTCTTGATCTTCTCCCTTCAGCTTTGAGGAGAGGTTTCTTTCTCTCTTTTTTTTCTCTTTCTTCTTTTTTTTCTCTTTCCTTCATTCTTCCTTTTTCTCTTTCAATCTTTCCTTCATTCTTTTCTTCTTTCTTTCTTTCCTTTTTAACTATCACTGTTCAATAGCTAGTTATTTAGCAACATGTTCTTTGAACAGGCACAGTCCCTATCTCAGAACAAATCAAAACAATACTACTCTCCCACACATTTGATTGCAGCATCAACACAACAGCAACAAAAAAAAACAACTACAGAAGTATCTTTTACAGGCTACCTGTGCTTGATACATTTCAGAAATTAGTTTCTATTTCATTTGAAAGTTTAGTAAATAAACTGGCATGTTGGAATTTCCTAAGGCAGACTTTGCAATAAATCTTAAAGAAATGGAAACTATCATATTCCTGAGATATTTCTTTGACAGACTGGCAGGCATCTTTTTTCAAAATAGATTTAATTTAAGTGAGCAGAAAATTTGGAAATCACTCTCTGAGTGAGTAAAGCCATTTTTCCTCACTGACAATGCAGCCACTGTGGTAAAAAGTTCCTCTCCCTACTCTTTCCCATCAGTCCTTTTTCTTTCTGTGGGTAAATCGTTTCCCTGAAGTCTATCCACAAAACCCCTGTGGCAGCAAGTTCTGATAAATAGGAACTTGGGTCTACAGCCACGGTGGGAAGAGTAATTTTGGGGACTACGTCAACAACCCATTTACACTGCATGAACAAGAGATGGATTGTTTCTCATGAGTAATGCTTGTCTGAACTGTAAGAACTATGGAGCACTTTAGGCAGTGAAAAGAAACTGTTCTAACAGCTTAGAAATTTAGATGGCTGTTCATGCCTCTGATTCTCTTGTAGTAACAAGATGAATACAATACAGGTCCAGTTTTTTAGTTCAATAATTCACAGCTTCATTTCCTCAAGCTGGTTTGACAGTTTGAGTCCACATTCATTTAATCCTGTTACTTAAATATAAAGAATTTACTGCGATTACTGCAACAAAAAGCATCTGCAAAATATTAATATTTAAAGGAAGGTTAAAAAAGTTAAGGGAAAACTTACCACATAATTAACTTTCATAAATCTTACCAGGAGTCACACAGCCAAGTCTTCATGTATAGTTTAGCAATTACATTCTGTCTCTCTCTCTGTTGTACTTGGTTTTGCAACCTCCATTTAGAATCCCTTAAACATTCTACACAGTTCAAGCTCTTACTACTTGCACTCCAAGGCTCTTACAGAATCTATAGCGTTGTGAAACTTTTAGTAATTTCATGTCATTCTTTTAATATCTGTCTGAGTTAGTACACATATTGCACTGCAGTACAGTCAACACCACCTGAATAGCAATAGTTTACATAGAGCTGCACGAGGAACGAATTTAGAAATTTTGAAATGCATAACCCTTATTTCCTTGTCTCCAAGACAGAAATAGGCAAATCAGGTAATATCCATGCTGGGTTTAAAGCACTCAACTTGGAAATCAACCAACCCACTAAAAATTACCTGCTCAGAAGTGTCAACCAGTTATATGGAGAAAAGTCGCTGCCTTTCAGTAAGGTACGTAGGCCCTTATTCATGTTATACTGCGTGTGTCAAACTTTATGATCTACCTATGACAACAAACAATAATAATTCATATACTTTCAAATATTTTCATTACATCTGCAAATTGTGTTATTATTTCTAACACGCATACTTCCTGTGAGGTTCTTCTTGAGAATTTAGATATCATGATTTTACTTTTATAGGATATGTATTTAATTTGTGTGATTCACAGTTGTGGCTAGGCAAAAACATTTTAATTATGCATTTCCAAATTAAAAAAGTACTGTGTTCTTCTGCTATATGCATTATACATAAATGCTATAGCCTATGTAATTTTTATTCGTTCTCTCCACTTGGCTATAGTTATTTATTGGCATTTATGTGGCAGGCAACAAACATAAGACAGATGTCTCTCTTGCACTGCAGGAATACTTACAGTTAGCCAAGAAATACCACAGTGCAGAACCACAATCAGTTGACTTTGTGGGAGCAGCAAATGAAATCAGAAGAGAGATCAATTCCAGGGTTGAACACCAGACTGAAGGTAAGCTCAACCATCTCCTCTCCCAGTTCTGAAGGAAGCAATTTTAGTCATGAACAAATTCTCTGTGCCCAAAGGGCCCAAGGCAGGTAAACAGTTTAACTCAGAAAGGGAAATCAGAACAATTTTGCTGAAGTAATCATCTGCTGGAAAGCCCTTACTAAAATTATCTTTCTCCATTTGAATGGGAAAGGAATGTGGTCTTCTCTACAAAACAGTGTTGTTGTGTATTTGTGAATAATCTCAACCTAGAAGCATGCCAAATCAACACTTCAAATTTCCTTATTTCTTCATTAACTATGCCAACATTTACTCTGAAACAGTAAAGCTGCACAAATATGTAAATGTTCTTTGGTTTTCTGTAGGTAAAATAAAAAGTCTGCTGCCTCCTGGATCCATAGATTCACTCACCAGGCTAGTCCTGGTAAATGCACTCTACTTCAAAGGAAACTGGGCAACAAAGTTTGACGCTGAAGAAACCAGGCAAAGGCCTTTCAGAATAAATACGGTATGGTAACATACTGCCTTATATACCAGACTGCAGGTTGAAAAAACAGTGAAAAAGATGGAGGAGATAAATTCCTGCCATTCTTTAAATCCACACCACACTAAAATTAGAATATTTAAAACATATGCTATATCCTTCTTAGCACATCTTCACTACAAAGATTGCACACACACATGCTAGCACCCAAGGCACAAATAAAATTAACATAAGCCAGCTTGAAACAAACTTCCACACACCTCTCAAAGCAGGAAAACATAGATGTGTATAAAACTGTATGAACTAGTTCTATATATTTTCATTTTGAACCATACAATGAATCAGAGTGGAACAGTGCTTCCAGTAAATATGTGTCATCCTAGCTGGCTAAGATAGCCTTCATAGCCTCCAAGTGCATTCCCAGAAGCGAGGGGCCCTCTGTAGATCCTACAGCTTCTCTAAGAGCCACAGGGATGTACCTCCACCATGCTATTCAATGTAGTTTTTTACTGTTCTGGGTATAAATAGCAAGCTTTTCATTTGATTTGTTGCAGCATACAACTAAACCAGTGCCAATGATGCACCTGGCTGATAAATTTAACTGGACCTACGTAGAATCAGTCCAGACTGATGTTCTTGAACTTCCATATGTCAATAACGACCTCAGTATGTTCATCCTGCTGCCACGGGATATCACTGGCCTACAAAAGGTAAAGGGTAACTGTAAGCTCAAATTGTGTGAGAAACAAGAATGTTTTCATGCATATCCATGGTAAAACATTAGGTTACAGCCTTATTTCTAGGAAGGAAGGTTTCCTTGAAGGAGGCTCAAGGAAAAACAAACCTCAAACTTGCTCAAATGTTATGAAATTGAACCTCTTGAATGTTTTGTTTAGTTTTCTTTTTAGCTCCTGGCAGGTTGCACTTCCGTGCTTTCTAATGTTGATCAGTGCTGGAAATAAGTAGCCCAAACCCAACAAGACTGGCTCTAACTCTAGCTGAAGAACAAGGAGGACAGAAAGACAGTTTTGCTGACTGTCTGTACTGACTCAGATGGATATTATGACAATTAAAAAGAAAAGCACAACCTAGACACCCTGCATTACTTTCTATGATGTTCAGAGCTAATATACATGCACACTGCCACCTTCTGTAAACACACTGAACCTGACTTCAGATAGTAAACTATTGTGAAATTCTCATTTATATTAGTGGGTGTTTTGTAGAAAAAAAAGTTATTTTCACTAAATTCTAAGACATACAGAAAACAGAAATGTGAGCACCAAGTCAAATAGACTACTGTTACTTGACACTGATGTTGTTTTACAAATATTTAACCCCTCTACATTCCCTGATGATTACTGAGAACAGTTCAAATGCTGCACTGACATACAGCAGAGCAAAATATTCCTTCCTAGTAGAAAATATTTCAGAGTTGGCAGTTCACTAATGGTTTTTGTACTTGAAAAGTACAATTTTCTTCTACAAAAAAAAGCTACAAAATTTTTGTAGCTTGAAAAGTTCTTAAATAAAAATACAGAAGAAATAACCCTTAGGGATCAGTTTTTTGAACACTGTGTAACTTTCTGGTTCTCTTTTCAATTAACTGCAGCTAATAAATGAATTGACTTTTGAAAAATTGTCTGCATGGATCAGTCCAGAATTAATGGAGAAAATGAAAATGGAAGTGTATCTGCCCAAGTTCACAATAGAACAGAAATATGACCTGAAATCTACTTTGAGCAAGATGGGGATAGAAGACGCTTTCACAGAAGGTCAAGCTGATTTCAGGGGAATGTCAGAGAATGCTGACCTGTTTCTGTCACAAGTTTTTCACAAATGTTATGTGGAAGTCAATGAAGAAGGCACAGAGGCAGCAGCTGCCAGTTCAGCATCTCTAGCATCACGAAGCCTTGGTGCTGCAGTTTTTTTTGTAGCAGATCACCCTTTTCTCTTCATTATCAGACACAACAAGACCAAGTGCGTCCTTTTCTTTGGAAGGTTCTGCTCCCCCTAGAAAATCAACTGTTAATAAACAAGCCCTTACAACAGTGATGAACACAATGTATGCCACGAAGAGCACCTCAACAGACTGTGAACTTTACCATAATTTTCCTGTACTATTGACAATCTCTGCTAGAAGAGAGCTCATATTAAAAACAACATGAATTCAAGCCTCTGATTCATTTTCCTTTATAAGCATATTATACAGCACTACAAAACACCAAACTGCACACTGAACAACACGGATGTGTCTTTTCAGTGCTTTCCAAACCAGAACTGCTACAATGCAGAACAGACAAGGCTGATCTAAAACAGTACTTCCCGATACACTTCCTTTTGCACATAAGAAGAAAAGAAGCAGGAGAAACTCATTCTTGTATAAAGTTGTCACACCTCTTCAAAGCTAACTGTCCCAGGCCACCTCTACCACAGCCTTTTCAGTTTTAAATCAGCTTCACAACATAGCATGGCTGGTAATGAAACAAAGCTGCAAAATCCTCTGTGTTGCTGGTACCATCGGTTTGCTCTTGCACACAAAGGAGCTAACACACGTACTTTCTAATCTCTGACCCTCATAAATTGGCAAATACCAAACAATGCAGAACCAGCGTTAAATAAAACACATACCTTGAAATGCTCTCTTTTGTCCTAACCTTTAATTCATTCAACACTGTTCTAGCCCAGCACTGCTTTACTCTCCTTTGCCACTTATTTTGCTGCTTGAAGGCAAGACCAACTGGGAGAATCAAATCTGTAATGTTAACTCCCCAAGTGCTGTCTGAAAGATTGCATGCAAATTCTTCCCTACATATTCACTGCTTTCACAGCTCTTACCCCTAAGGAGGGGGAATTCCCAATCAGTCATGCACATCTAAGAACACAAGCGATGCTCCTACTTCTCTGAATTCAGAATGGTGAGAAAAGGACCGGGCCTCTTCACAGCACTTGCACACACTGACAGCATCTCACTATAAACATCCCCTCCCACGAAGGTAGGATACCTTTTTTCTGGCAGAGAGAGGAGTGTTGACTGATGGTGAGTCTTTTCTGTATTATTCCATGTGGCCAGGCTCCTTTTGGCTCTGCTTTCCCAAATGGGAAGGAACATACGGTGAGTGTTGCGAAGCAAATGCTCCACTGTATCCTCACACAGCTTCACAAGCACTGCCTTCTGCCTCAGCTGTGAAACATATCACAGGATCTCTATGCTCAGAGGTGTTTCTGACATGTCCTGCTTCACCTAACAGAATGGCTTCATGTCCCAATGGAAAAGTCACTCAAGGACTACCTGATATTTCTCAGGAATAAAGACACAAAAGCCATGTCTGGGAGGCCAACGAGAAACAAAACCCCAACAGTGCGCAACCAAACTCAGAAACAAATGTCATCCATCTTTTCTATTTTAAGCATAGTTGCAAAGATGAAAGAATGAATGTCCTGTTGGCAATGCTGGATCATTACCAAAGGCCAATAGCAACCAAATTAGAGGGTGAATCTTGCATTGAGGAACAGCATTTTCTCATGGTAAGTAGCACACACTGGGGCAGACTGCCTAGAAAAATTGAGGACTTCCCATTCAGGAAAGGGCTGTAGCTGACCTAATTTACCTGTGGGCCTACTCCAGGCATGCACTGGACTATAAACCAGCTTCTGTCTAGTTTCTGTCAACATCCATTCTACCTTAGCACCTCAGTTTCTCTTCCTCTCTGGCACCTGTGCAGCTTGACTAACAGGGGCACTTAGCTTGCTTGCTTGCTTGCTCTCAGCATATTTCTTTAGGATTTGGAATCTCTCTAGCTTGGCCTTTCCCACCGATCAATCATTCAGTGGACTTCTACCCTGATTTTTTTTATAACCTTTCTCATTGTACTAACGTCACCACTTGTTTAATTTCTGACATTTCTTCACTGCCTTGCATAACACTGATTTCTATAACTTTTCAGAAGACTTGACCTACTCTGTTCCTGTAATCAGACTTACAGCAAAATGCTTGGCACACCATAGTTTCCTTCCCTCCCTCCTCTTTCCTTCCCTATCCCTTAGACTCTTACAGATGTTGCCACTACCTTCCCCTTCTCCTACCCACACAAGAGCAGCCCTGCTGCTTTCTGGGACAGCAGAGTGACAACTATTGTATTTATCCCCGCTGTATTTTTTTCACTCCTTCCTTGCTCAAGTTCTGCCAGTGGGGCTGCTTCAGTTCTTGCCTTCCTCCATGGCATGCAAGTACTGTGCACTCAGTATTTTGCAGTGTTTCTCTGAAGCGTTTCCCAGCTATGGATGCAATTAGATTCTTTCACCAACACAAGAAGCAAGATGTTCAGCCTTACATCTTCAATGGCTTTGCCTCTGCCTGTGCTCCCAATGATCTTCACTCTGAAACTTGACTCTCAGAGTCTAATTCAGTCTGTAAGCTCTTGACATTTTACGCCGATGCATCTTATTCATAGAATCATAGAATGGCTTGGGTTAGAAGGAAAGATCATCTATTTCCAAGCCTCCTGCCAACGACTAAATCAGGCATTAGATCAGGCTGCCCAGGGCCCCATCCAACCTGGCCCTGAACATCTCCAGGGATGGGGCATCATAGCTTCTCTGAGCAGCCTGTTCCAGCATCTCATCACCTTTTCAGTGAAAACTCTCCCCAGCATTTAATCTAAGTCTATCTTCTTTTAGTTTAAAACCATTCCCCCTCGTACTATCACTATCTACCCATGCAAAAAGTTGATTTCCCTCCTTATTTATAAGCTTCTTTTAGGTACTTGAAGGCTGCTATCAGGTCTCCCCTGATTCTTCACTTCTTCAGACTGAGGAATCCCAGCTTCTGCAGCCAATCTTCATAGAAGAGGTCTTCCAGTTCTCTAATCTTCATGACCCTGCTCTGCACTCATTCCAAAAGGTCCACATATTTCCTGTGCTAGGGCCTCATGCCTGGACACAGCACTTCAGATGGGGCCTCATGAGGGCAGAATACAGGGGGACAATCACCTCCCTCTCCCTGCTGGCCACCCTTCTTTTGATGCAGCCCAGGATACTGTTGGCCTTTCAGGCTGCAAGAGCACACTGCTGGCTCCTGTTAAGTTCTTCATCTGCCAGGATCCTTAAGTCCTTCTCAGTAGGGCTACTCTCGATGAGTTCTTATCCTAGTACGAACACATATCTGGGATTGCTTCAGTACAAGTGCAACACCTAACACTTGGCCTTTGTGAACCTCCTTATGTTCACATGGACCCAATCCTCAAGCCTGTCCAGGTCTCTATTAAAAAACAAAGAGTCATGGCTTCACAAGGCTGGAAAGTTGGACCAGTCCTACAATACCTGCTTAAATTCAGAAACCAAAACCATGCATTCTGGTTCATGTAGTAATCATTTTACCAGATTTGTTTATTTTAAACAACAAGCCAGTTGTCTTCACAACACCAGAAGATCATTGAAATGAACGAGTGAATTGTTTTGCTGTCCTCCTAGTGACAATTGTGGTGTAACAGTTAAAATGAGATTATGATCCCCTTTGTTCCTTTGAAATGCCTAAAACAAAAAATGTAACAAGATGAACGAGGAACTAGAACGTAACAAGATCAACAAGGAAGACAAAACTGTATGAGATGGTTTTGGGATTCATTAGAGAGAAGCTTTGAGTAGGCGGGAACAGAGTTGACATCGGAGAGAAGGAAAGGGAAGTGCAAACTACTATATTTCTAAATTTATTCACTGCTTAACACGCAGACACAAAACCTGACAGGACAAGACTCAGGTCTTCTCTCTCACTGGATCACAGGTAAGCATTTAAACCAATTTAAATAACTTTTCTGATGTTTTTAAATGGTTATCTATAGCCTGCATGACAGTGGAAGTAAAATGTACGAGGGTTATACTGTAGTCATTTTTATATATGCTTTTCTAGATGTCATGTCTTACAGAAAATGAATGTGTGAGCTAAGGAAAACAGTTGGGAGCATAACTGATCACAAGAAGGAAAATCTTGTCAGGACAGTAGTTGTCTTACTAATTAAAATATTCAGTTTGATAAAGGAGTCTCATACTTCAGGTGAAGCAAAGGCTATTTTCATTCTGCCTTGTACATGATCAGGACAGGGACTCAGAGGAGTAGAGTAAGACAGGTTTCTATCCTGATGCTCATTCGGTCAGGTTCTCCAAGGAGAGGATGTCACTCCATGGTACAGATTTGGTATAGACTGGATAATGACTGCCAGAAAAACTAAAGTGGTTTGGTAGCCAAAAACTTGATGAATATCTGTAGACTTCAGAGACAGACCTGCAATTTCTGCAGTGCCATTCAATAAATATGAATTGTTCTTTACATAATAATAACAACAATAACAACAATATTTTCCAGTCTCTCTATCAGAAAACACCATAAGAAGGTACTACTGAACAGGTAAGTTAAAGTTTGGAATGCTCATAGCTTATACACATAGATATTTGCCAGTTTCTGAGGAAAATAAAATTGCCAGAATATAAAGAAGAGACTGTAGTTAGACTCTGTGAATAAAATGGTAACACTTCAAAAGCAAATAACAACTTTGTCATACATTATATTATCTGAAATGGGTTGCTAGCCAGAAAAATTCCATAAGCCCAAGAGTTACACCTAAATACATTCTCAGTATTAGCTCCTAATTCTATCTAGATCCAAAATGATGTAGTGAAAATCTCAGATGTCCCATGTACGAAAATTACTTAAACTTCCCTGGAAACATTACTTTGATAATGAGTTAGGAATGAAAATGAACAAAATATGCAGCTTACAAATCTACACACTTTTTGAAAAACAAAGGCAGAAAGAAACTTGAATAAAAGGGCAGATCTATAAAAGAGAACACATCTATAATGATAGGGAATTATGAGATGGATAACAAAAACCCAAAAGGAATTGCTGCTCCCAGCAGGTGGCACATGTATGTACATGTAAGTGTATGTGTAGAACATACAGCTAGGCTATTAGTTTCAAAAGGTACCTATGCACTGCACTGCAAATGTAACATTTCTCACTAATATGCACTGCATACATCATTTTAGACACTCAAATACTACAGTTCTGTCTGTTGCCTCTTTCCAGGCTGTAGCAATGGAACAGGTTTCATCATCAATTGGCAACTTTACAGTTGATCTTTTCAACAAGCTGAATGAGACCAGTAGGGACAAAAACATCTTCTTTTCCCCTTGGAGTATATCATCTGCTCTTACCCTGACATACCTGGCTGCAAAAGGCAATACAGCACGAGAGATGGCAAAGGTAGGTAGCTCTCTGAAGCTATGATGCTCAACACTGCCCAGTAATTGCTATTGGGATGCCCTGTTTCATTGTCATAGGGAAAAATTACATTTGGGTTTGCACAAATGCACTGCTATTGCTGAGTGCAATGGCTGTGGAAGGGAGTTCAGCCTTGTAATGCGCAGACAAAAGTACTGTGATGATGCTTACAGAGGGAAGCAACACTATTCCTTGTTACTGTATGGGATTTACATGTACTACAGCTCCAGTGTCCCCCCAGTTAGATCAGAAGATAGCACAGTGAGTCATCATACGGAGCCAAACAAGACAACCATTTTATCTCTATTAGGTTTTAGGTCACGCAAATTCTTTCATGCCAACTTCTTACCTCTGGAAACTCTATTTGCAGGTTCTTCATTTCACCAAAGGTGTGGAAGCTGAAAGCTCTTCTGTGGCCAGACCCTCTCGGGGGAGACCAAAAAGAAGAAGAATGGTATCTATTAGACCTGAAATCACAAGATAAGAATTAAAATGTCTGGAATCAGTTTTAAGAGTCCACTATTTCTTGTTCACAGCTCTCTTTATATTTAAAGTATAAAACCCAGTATACTTTGCAACACATCCAATTTCAGTTCCTTTCACTCATTCAGACTCAAAAGTATAGAAGCACAAGTCACTGAGATAGTCTGGAAGGTTTGCAATATGGTAAATCAGTTAATCAGGTCATAAACGGAGCCCTGCAAACTGCAGCAGTGGCAAATTTGGAAAGATAAAAAGTAAGAGAGAGGAACAGAAATTCCACCCCAATATCTATCCCTTAGCGTGTTTCAAAAACTTCATGCAAAAAATGCAACTGGTAAATGTACAGTTTCTCTTTCCAAGGACCCTGAGCATGAGCAAGCTGAAAACATCCACTCTGGATTCAAAGAGCTCCTGACAGCCTTCAACAAACCCAGAAACACCTACTCACTGAGAAGTGCCAACCGTATCTATGTGGAAAAAACCTATCCATTGCTGCCTGTAAGTTGAATTGTTTTATTTCAAAGAGGATTAAGAAAAATTGCCAAAAAAAAAAGTTTTGCACTGTATTCATTGTATTCACTTGTTATTAATAGAACAGTTTTGAAGCTGTCCATAAATGCCACAGATGATGAGTCTTGGTTTCCAGATAAACTTCACTGGAAAATACCATTTGGGCTTCTCCCAGTTTATAAGAATGCATTTGGCTGTAATGCAGGACCCCTTTTCATGCAGTACAGCTTTATCACTAGGAACCTCAATACATACAATTGAAAATGAGATATTGAAATAAGCACATCCAGGGATGTGCACAGTATTCTTTCCTTCTCCAAATAAAAGTGGGAATGACAGAATAAGAGAAGGGAGATGTTTGTCCTTTGGTTATTTCTTAAACGTTAACTCACTGTTCAATAGAGAGCAAAAGGCAACATTCTGCAGTTGCCTATGTGCAAAAAGTTAACAAGTCCAAAAGCTAACAAATTACTTTCTGGACTACAAAAATATTGTACAATACAGAATATTTCCTTCTTTCTTTGTTTCTTTCTTTTTATATGCCATTTTCCAGACATATATACAGCTCAGTAAGAAATACTATAAAGCAGAGCCACACAAGGTTAACTTTAAGACAGCACCGGAACAAACCAGAAAGGAAATCAACACCTGGGTGGAAAAACAAACAGACAGTAAGTTGAGCTCTACCCCAACATCCTTCCTCTTCCTGCTGCCCTCTTTGGGACCCTGTTCTCACAGTTGTGACTGTAGCATCCAGGTCATGCCTTCTGGTATGGGCAGTAGATGGCTGTCTGCTTCCAGTTGCTTGCCATGAGACTGTGGCATTTTTTGAGGCAAAAGCCAATTGCAGTCAGCTAGCCAGGAGAACAGGGCAGCAAACATCAAACAGACTAACTGGTTTATGTCAGGGAAGTAATTCAGGGAGTAGGGCACTGAGGCTTGCACTTTTTCAGTAAGGAGTTGAACAGAGCGGATAAAGAATCAAAACATTCCCTCACTTTGTTACACTGGAGTACAGCCTGACTTTTCTGATTTTAAAAGGTAAAATCAAGAATTTGCTGAGTTCGGATGATGTGAAAAGCGTGACCAGGTTGATTTTGGTCAATGCCATTTACTTCAAGGCAGAATGGGAAGTGAAATTTCAGGCAGGACACACATCTATGCAACCCTTCCGCCTGAGCAAGGTAAGCTCCTCTGGTGTCCTTACAGCAAGCAGACTGGACACTGCACCTACTGTTACCATCTTTTATTTCATCCAGCCTTTAGCCATTCTTTGGTAAACAGACTCTCTGAAAAGTTGCTTACAGCAAAATGTGTCAGTGGTCAGCTCATCAACATTTATGGAAATTAAGATGCTGCTCAGGCAAAGGATAACTAGATCCAGACGGAACACAGTTTCCAAAAATGCTAGAGTCACTTAAAGCCTTTCTGCAAAACTGAGGAATAAGGGCTAGATTGTAAAAATCAGATATTGAGAGTCCGTGCTTCCTGGACAGGAACTGCATGCCATGCTATGGATGAGCACAGTACTCACACCTCTGTGCTGCACAGTCCAACTGTGAATACAGCTGCAGCAGCACAGCTCCACTGGATGGGTGCATGGCTGAGTGAGATTAGAAGTAATGTTGCCATAGAGAGGAGATCACAAAAAGGCTGCATAACATTTATCCTCTTACACCAGAGCTGTTTCACTGCTGTGGTGTTGGGTGGCTGTATGCCATGAATGCTCCCTCCCTCTAATTCTTGCTGACGTTCCTCTCTCCTCTGTGGGCTGATGTGCATGCTCTGGGGAAAAGAGAAAATCAGTTAGCTCAGTCCCCAGCAAAATACTCTGGGACAAGAGACAAGATCAGCAATACTGTCCAGTCAAGAAAAGCCCTGGAAAAAGAATGTCAAATCTCTGTTACAGAAACTGCTTCTGAAAGTTTCCTCTTTACAAGGAATTCCTTTTTTCAAGGAATTATTTCTAACTGATAAATAAATACCTTACAGAATAAGTCCAAGCTCGTGAAGATGATGTACATGAAAAATACATTTCCAGTTCTTACCATGGAAAAAATGAACTTCAAAATGATCGAACTTCCATATGTGAAACGTGAACTCAGTATGTTCATCCTACTTCCTGACGACATCAAAGATGGCACTACTGGTCTTGAGCAGGTAAAAAGCTATGCTACATCCATTCTGTATCACCACTCAGTCATCAGAACAAAAAGGACAGACTGATGACCATATGGCCCTTTCTTTCTTCTGCAATTGATTTGGCAGAAGTAGCACTCAAAAAGTTGCAGCATTATGCATCACATTTGCTTTGCAGCTTGTTCTCTGGTCATCAGTGAAAGCAATTTATATTTCGTGTTTTTCAGCTGAATGTTAAATATGCCATTTAAAAAACTGTTTTAAAAATTGGTTAAAAAAAAGTCATAATTAATGATTGGTTTATTAATTATTGGTTTAGCCTTGCCACTATCAAATTCCTCTTATTTCTTAAACACTAGCTGGAAAGAGAACTCACCTTCGAGAAGCTGTTGGAATGGGCTGATTCAAAGAAGATGACAGAAACTCTTGTGGATCTGCACCTGCCTAAGTTCTCTCTGGAGGACAGATATGACCTCCGTGATACTCTGAAGAACATGGGCATGACAAGTGCCTTCAGCCTCAATGCTGATTTCAGCGGGATGACTGATAAGAGGGATTTGTCTATTTCCAAAGTCATTCATCAGTCTTTTGTTGCAGTTGATGAGAAAGGCACTGAGGCAGCTGCTGCTACAGCTGTAATTACAACACTCACAAGTACAGCTATCAACTATGCTCTGACATTTAAGGCTGATCACCCTTTCCACTTCTTCATCAGACATAACAAATCCAAAACAATCCTGTTTTTCGGCAGACTCTGCTGCCCAGTAGAATGAATTATTCCTCACTCCCAAAGTTCAGTTTTCAAAGGAAAAACATGAACTGTAGTGTTAAAAGCTCAGCCTTCAACCATATAGCCATAAGTACTAGAAGTATATGTCTTTTTTCTTAAGTAAGGCAGCACCCAGACACCACCATGTGCCTCAAATACTGCCTCTCTATTGCTTCTTTCCATTACATTAATGAAATTGCCTTTCATGGAAAGCAAATGCTTGATGTATAATTGCTGACCTCTGTTCACCTTGCATTTTGTCCTTATTTCTCTGAATGCTCAAGGCTGATGTTGATAAGCATCCCAACCAGCAATAAGACCAAGAAAACTACAGCAACATCCCTTATTGCTACCTCTTATTGAAATGTGATCTAAACAATTCAAATCTGCTTTTCATTTTCAATTTAATGTAATTATATCTGTTTCCTGGCCAACATCTGCACAGTTTCCTTGCTACCTGGATCAGTGATAAATGTATGATTTGCAACTTATGAGTGCCTTTCAGCTAAGATAGTCCTGGTATTGACAGAAACACCAATAAGATTTTTATGCATGCTTCACTTCATTATTTTGCCATGATCTACATTTACAATAATAAATGAATTTGGAACTGTGTTTGTGCTATGCAAGATTCTAACTCACCTAGCTCCTTTAGAGCATCCTATACAATGAATGGCTGACACACATTTCTGCTCTTGCTGTTTCAAACCAACCATCACATCACCACTAATGACAAGGTGCTGAAACACTCTAATAATTAACCAGTGTCTTACTCCCACTACATTTCATACAACACTGAAAACACTGTTGTTCAACATGTTATCCTATTCATTTACTAGACACACCAAAATAAATCAAAACCTGTGATAAGATAACAGAGTTAAGGTATTTGCCCGTTCTTGTTGAGCATCTTCACCAATCATCTAGATGAAGGAATAGAGTGCATCCTCAGCAAGTCTGCTGACAGTATGAAGCTGGGAGGAGTGCCTGACAGGCCAGGAGACTGAAATGCCATTCAGCGAGACCTGGACAGGCTGGAGAGCTGGGTGGAGAGGAACCTGATGAGCTTCAACAAGAAAAAGCATAGAGTGCTGCACACGGGGAGGAATAACTGCATGCATCAGTACACATCAGGGGCTAGCCTGCTGGAAAACACCTCTGAGGAGAAAAAGCTGGGTGTCTTGGTAGAACAACAGATTGGCCATGAGCCAACAGTGTGCACTTGTGGCCCAGGTGGCCAATGGTATTCTGGGGTGAACTGAAAAGAGTGAGGCCAGCAAGTCGAGCGAGATGATCCTCCCCATCTACTCCGCCCTGGTAAGGCCACATCTGGAGTACTGTGCCCAGTTCCAGGCTCCTCAGTTCAAGAAAGACAGGGAACTGCTGAAAAGAGTCCAGCGGAGGGCTGCAAAGTTGATTGGGGGCCTGGAGCATCTGCCATAGGAAGAAAGGTTGAGACACCACAGACTGTTCAGCCTGGAGAGGAAAAGACTGAGGGGTGGATCTCATCATTGTTTATAAATATCTAAAGTGCAGGAGTCACGTGAATGGGCCCAGACT